TACTGTGTGTGTGTGTGTGTGTGTGTGTGTGTGTGTGTGTGTGTGTGTATCTAATAGTCTTTTGTCTGGTGAAAAAAATTTCCCTGGAACCTAACTCCCCCCCCCCCCCCCATTTACATTAATTCTTACGGGGAAGTGGATTCATTTAACATCATTTTGCTTAAAGTAGCATTTTTCAGGAACATAACTACAACGTTAAGCGAGGAATTATTGTAGTTGGTACAGGACGGGACTCAGCCTAGGGATGGGGTATGCTCCGATCCCCAGGCTTTAAACCATGCGATCGTTGTAAGTGGCCCATGCCCATCAGGGATCTGCAGGTTAGCTGTTTAAGGTGTCTAGGAAAAGGTTACATAAGCGACAAGTGTCGCATCTGTAAGTCGTTCAAACCCAGAATGAAAAAGGAGAGAGACCTCCGTCTCAGGGCACTTCTGATGGAGTCAACGCTGACCCCGGCACCGGAGCAGAGGTTGGACTCGGCCCCGAGTACCACAGCGTTGGTACGGAGCGCCTCGCTGGTGCCGTCTACTGGCTGGCACTGATCCCCGGCCCTGGCCAAGAAGCCCAAGATGTCCATGAGGGGGAGATCTTCCAATTCCAAGAAGGAATTCCGGGCAGTCCTTGAAGAGGGCGTGGCTGCAGTGAGAGTGGCCATCCAAGTAGCCTCGGACGCAGCAGACTCCGCGGCTCACGCCATGGCCTTGGCCATCTCCATGCGAAGGGTGTCCTAGCTGCTCCTCTCGGGTCTGTCAATGGAGGCTCAGCAATTGATGCAGGACCTCCCCTTCAATGGCCAGACCCTGTTTGCAGAGCAGACGGACAGTAAATGGCATGACCTTAAGGACTCCTGCACTATCCTGAAAACTCTGGGGCTGTACGCTCCAGGGCCAGCTCCGTAAGTGGTTCAAACCACAGCAATCTCAGGGCCAAGGGAATCAACCCCGCCATCAGCCGCCCAACCCCCTCAATAAGAAGAGTAGGGGCTACAAGTGCCATCCAAGCCACCAACCTCCTCCTTCTGCCCAGTCGGGCTCAACCCGCAATAAGCAGGGGGGCAAGCGAGTGTTTTGAGGGTGCGCTCGAGGGCGACCTACCGGACTTTACCCAGACCCGTCTGTCCCGCTGTTCTCCAACTGCCTTTCTTTTTTCCTCCCCGCATAGGTGGCTATACCTTCAGACTGCTGGGCCCTCATTACTGTGGTAAACTGTAGGGTACAACCCTCCACTTCTAGGCCCCCACCCCTTCTCCGTCCCTCTTCAGAATGGACATGAGCAAGCACTCGAAGAAGAAAAGATAGTTACCTTTTCCATAACTGGTGTTCTTCGAGATGTGTTGCTCATGTCCATTCCACAACCTGCCCTCCTCCCCACTTTTGGATTTTCCAGCAAGAAGAAACTGAGAGGGGGGAGCCAGCAGCACCCCTTATACCGTGCCATGTGGGTGGTAATCCAGAGGACGCCAGAGCCGGTCCCCTACGGATACTGCTAAGAGAAAAAACTTCTAGCACTGGTGCATGTGGTGAGCACACACACCTAATATGGAATGGACATGAGCAACACATCTTGAAGAACACCAGTTACGGAAAAGCTTACTGTCCTTTATCTAGACCATCCCTGACAGGTGTTTGTCTAACCTGCTTTTTAAAACCTCCAGTGACTGAGATTCCATAACCTACCTAGGGAATTTATTCCAGTGCTTAACCACCCTGACAGTTAGAAAGTTTTTCCTAATGTCCAACCTAAACCTCCCTGGCTACAATTTAAGCCCATTGCTTCTCGTCCTATCGTCAGAGGTTAATGAGAACAATTTTTCTTTCATCTCCTTGTAACAACGTTTTATGTACTTGAAAACTATTATGTTCCCCATAAGACTTCTCTTTTCTAGAGTAAACAAACCCAATTTTTTCAATCTTCTCTCATAGGTCATGTTTTCTAGACCTTTAATCATTTTTGTTAATCTCCTTTGGATTTTCTCCACATCTCTCCTGAAATGTGGTACCCAGAACTGGACACAATACTCTGAGGCCTTATCAGCACTGAGTAGAGCAG